ACGAAATCTTCCTTTCCTTGGCTTTTCTTCTTTTTATTATCTTAATGGTAAAATTTGGTTTTCTTAGACGTTGAAACATTTCTCAGTCCACAGTTGAATTTTCTGTGAAGATGTAGTTGTCCTGTATTGTGAGTGTCTGGCAGCATCTCTGGTTCCAGTGTGAATATGTCTTATCCACCATTGTGTGCGTGTCTGTATTTGTGTCTGTGTATGTGTGTGGGGGGGGTAGGGGCAGGGTGATTCCTATGGCCCTGTATCTGGTGTCACAGGAAGGAAGTATACAAAGGCATGCTGTAAGAATTTAACCTGCACACAGTGACTTAAAATCCTGTCAGTAGAAACAGCATTGAAGGAAAGAATGCACAGAGGAAAGCAATTAGAAACCAGCTCCTGATATTGCCCTGGCCATGGAACTTGGCTCAAACATCTTGCTCTCTTGACATTCTGCTTGAACTCTTACATTCTCTGTGTGTGTGTGTGTGTGTGTGTGTGTGTGTGTGTGTGTGTGTGTGTTCCTTGTTTTCGAATTCCTGCCTTTGCTTTTGCCAATTTGATGAATAGTTCTACAAACCTCAGTGTGTATAAAGAGCGAAACAAACTGCAGTGGTGTCAAGTGTCCTCTCAGGTGCAAGCTGCAACTTTTGGGTGGTAGATCCTTATTTATTTTCCATCAGCCTTATTCTTCTTTCCATATGTGTCTGTGGAAGAAAAGTATATGACCTTTCTACACAGTGGGTAGGTGGTTCCTGTGCATTCAGTGACCTGAGCGCTGGGAGCTGCAGAGTGGTCCTCCATGGTGCTCGGGTCTTAGGCAGGAAACTGCTGACTCTCAACCTCAGGCTGAGAATAAGTTAATTCGGGGCCTGGGCCTGTTCATCCATCCTGAATTTTCTCCCTAGTAACAGCCTTCTCAGCAGTAGCTGACTCGTGCTTTTCAATGTCCTCAGGATCTCTGTAGAAGCCCAGATCAGGCACTGCCTCTCCTGGGTGTTTACGGGAGATGGTGCTTTGCATGAGCCCAACTTCCAGGGCCATCATTCACCACATGAGACTCACAGTGTGAGCATTCTTTTAAGGATCTTAAAGCAGGATTCATCAAGTTGATTAAAAAGAGAGGTCAAGTCATTCCTGAGACTCAAGTAGGGTAACAAAACAACACATAAGAAATCAGATAATATTTCCAAATGTTTTCATCATTTCTAAATTTACACATAAAGCATTTTTACTTGGTGCAAGGATCACCATCAAACTCCACTTGTGGGGCCAGAGAACCTTGTAGTGTTAGCAGAGCATACTTCCAGCACTTGAAAGTCCATCTTACATGTCACCACTTTTCGTGAAGTAAGTTGTAGTTTTTGTTCATCTGTAAATTTAGCTGAGAACTACACATGAAGGTGAGGAAATATTTACTTTTAGAGTAAAGGAAACGCAACTTCTCTTTCTTCCTCTCATGACTGTTTATTTCCAAATTGATTGAAATTCATAGGGAGACTGAGCTAGCTGTGACAAAAGGAAATAATCCAGATAGCCAGAACATTAGGACTGGGAACTTCTGAGGAATTACCAACAGGTAATTATTCATTTGCTTCAGGGTATCCCCCGGAGGTGGTCATAAGATAGTTTCTTGTTGCCTTCAGGGTTCTGAGGAGTCATTTATTTCAGTCTTCCTTAGTACACAGCTGCAGGCTATGAAATTGCACTGCTAGTGGCATGGACTGGCTCCTAGGAAGTGGCTATTTGAGCTTCCTTGTTCAATGTTGACCACTTTTTTTTCAGTGTTGCTCTACGAGAGACATGAGGACCAGGCACTTGTAGCTACCTTTGTTTTTGTTATGTAAGTAACACACTAAATAAATATAAAAATATATATTTTGCAGATCAGATCTATTAGCCTTTGCCTTGCAGTGCACATTGGACCTCATTCTTTTTGTTTGTTTAGTTTTTTGGGCCACATCCGGCAGTGCTCAGAATTTACTTCTGGCTCTGTGCTCAGGGATCTCTCCTTGTGGGTTCAAGGGACCACGGATGGGGTACAACTCTCATTGGCTGTGTGCAAGGCAAATGCCCTATCTGCTGTACTATGGTTAAGGACCAGGTCTTCATTCTTTAATACAACTGTCTGTGTTTCTATAATTTCTTTTTATTCATATGTAAACATGTATCATTTTAGTTCCAAAGGAAATCTAAACTGTACTCTAAACGTGCCTAACTTAATATTTACTAAAATAGTGATATGTAATATCCATAGCCATAGTTGTTTCCGTAAAATTTTCCCCAACTTTGTACTGCTTTAGAGGTTGTATGTATTTATTTTCCTTTCTTCCTTTAGTATATAATGTAAAAGTTTGAATAGGTCCAGGACTATCAATACCTTACTTTTGGTTATTAGTATGTGTTGTTAACATCACTTTCAAAAGTTTTAGTCAAATTTATACAAATGCCATCAATTTCTCTGTAGACTTAATTTTATGGTGCCTTTAAAATGTAAAAGCACTAATCTTTTTAATTATTTAGAAACTTTGAAACACTGTGATTTCTAAAGTTGTTCATAGTACAGCTGTTTCCGGCATTCAGGCATTCAGTCCCACCACCAGGGCCATCTTCCCATTAGTATTCCTGATTTCCATCCACCCCAAACCTGTGCTCTTAGTAGGCACAGACAGATTTGCTTCATATTGATTGCTGCATCAAATTAAAAACGGAATTATTAGAAAATAGATCAACAAAAGTCACTGTAGCACTGTAACACTGTCCTCCCATTGTTCATCAGTTTGCTCAAGCAGGCACCAGTAACATCCACATTGTGAGACTTGTTGTTACTGTTTTTGGCATATCCAATACGCCACGGGAGCTTGCCAGGCTCTGCCGTGTGGGCAGGATACTCAGTAGCTTGCCGGGGGGCTCTTCCAGAGGGACAGAAGAATCGAACCCCAGGTTGGTCGCATGCAAGGCAAACGCTCTACCCGCTGTGCTATTGCTCCAGCCCAACGAAAGTCAATTTACGATAATTGCTATATCTCACAAAGGTGTTACCAAAGTCATAGTCTGAGGATTCACCGAGCTGGCGGTTATTGGTTGAGACATTTGTATTCCTGTTTTTGCTTAGTGATCATGCTGGTGGACTTCTACAAATGTTCCCATCAAATTTGCTATGCTGCTACTGGGCTGGTAGTGCTGTGAAATATGGATGAGGTGTCACTCCAGCATGCCCTGGGAACTGAGCCGTTACGTTAGAGGAGGTTGGAGGTGGCAGCTGCTGGTCCTCTCTGTCAGGAAATCCCAGGGGAGCTGAGTCTACAGATTGATTTATCTGGAACAATTCTTCACCTTAGCTTCTTTTGTAAAAGTATTAATTTAATAGGTATTTCTGTTACATCTTAACTGTGTGTGACAAACTGGGACAATATTTTATAGTGGGATTGTGTAGGATTATTTTTTATTCTTGAAATTTTGTTTAAATTCAGAAATTTCCAGAAGTATGACCTCTGTAAACCTCGTTTTCTTAGGATTACAAAAGAAAATTCTTAATGTAATAGTCTGTCTTGTAAAGAACAAATGTAACTTTACACACATATATGCGCATGCTGGAGCGATATATTGGGCTGGAGCGATAGCACAGTGGTAGGGTGTTTGCCTTGCACGCAGCCAACATGGCCGACCCGAGTTCGATTCCTCCGCCCGTCTCGGAGAGCCTGGCAAGCTACCGAGAGTATTCGATATGCCAGACACAGTAACAACAAAGTCTCCAATGGAGACGTTACTGGGCCCGCTCAAGCAAATTGATGAACAATGGGAGGACAGTGACAGTGACAGTGATTAATAAGGTGTTTTAAATTCAACTTGGATACGAGTGGGTTCTCTCACCAACACAAACAGTCCATTGAATGAGAACATCTACAAATTTCATTCTGTTGCAGATTCTGTTCTGTTTTCTGTGTCCAACAGGCCCTCTCACCTCCTGGTTTTTTCACTGGATGAGTGAAAACTCCTCTCTCCTCCAGAATTAAGCTCTTGTTTGAGACGTTAAATTGTGTATCACAATGAAACCGTTTCAGTCCTAGGTTTGAGGACATGGAGCAGAGTCAAAGATGTTTCACACGCCTCTCCTACCAATAAATGATCTTTTTGGTTTATGTAAACCCTGTGCTCCAGCCCTTGGTGCTACCTTCCTGGACCATTATATGTTTACTTTTAAAGCTGTCAGTGAAACAAATAATTTTACCACCCTTTATGAATGCTAGGTCCAAAAGCTACTAATATTACTTTGTTAAAAGGCCCTAAAAGGGCTGGAGCAATAGCACAGCGGTAGGGCGTCTGCCTTGCACGCAGCCAACATGGCCGACCCGAGTTCGATTCCTCCGCCCCTCACGGAGAGCCCAGCAAGCTACCGAGAGTATCTCGCCCGCACAGCAGAGCCTGGCAAGCTCCCTGTGACGTATTCGATACGCCAAACAGTAACAACAAAGTCTCCAATGGAGACGTTACTGGGCCCGCTCGAGAAAATTGATGATCAACGGGAGGGCCTTTACTTTTACTTACTTGCTATATGCGCATGCACACACCACCTAATTTAGTACCTGAAATATAATAGGTATATGTTAAGTGACAGATAATATACAAATAATACAGACTGTATCACTGTATCACTGTCATTCTTTTGTTCATCAGTTTGCTCGAGCGTGCGCCAGTAACGTCTCTATTCGTCCCAGCCCTGAGATTTTAGCAGCCTGTCCTTACTTGTCTTTCCCAACGGTTGGAGGCTCTTTCAGGGTCCAGGGAATGAGAACTGTTATAGTTACTGGTTTTGGCATATTGAATATGCCACGGGACGGGTATCTTGCCAGGCTCTGCCTGTGCAGGCAGGATACTCTCAATAGCTTGCTGGGCTCTCTGAGAGTCATATATATATATATATATATATATATATGTGTGTGTGTGTATATATAATTTGTTGCCTAATGTCTACACTCTATCAAACATAGTATGGTAAATTATGGAACATGGGTAGGAAGTGTCTTATGATGTGTCTTTGCGGCTGCGCGGTCCGGAAAGCGGCCTGCAGCATGGCAGTGGTTGGGTAGTGGAGGTTGGCTGCTGGGGCTGGGTCCCTTGGGGCAGGGAAAGCTCTTGCCTGCCACCCTCTGGGGCGCCCCAAATGGAAACAGCCTGGCACAGAGTTCAGTGGTATGGTTGGGGGGCCTCCTTTTATACTCCCGTCTGGGAGGAACAGCTATGAGTTCTGGAGGGTGGTCCATGAGGAGATCATCTGGTTGCTGGCAGGGTGTGGCTTATGGGTGTGACCCTTGAGTCACCCACTGGAGACTGGGGGAAGCAGGCAGAGGATCACTGCTCCCAGGTCCTTTTGAGTCCAGTGTCCAAGGTCACAACGTTCCACATTACCTGGGTCCCATGGGACTTCATTCACTCCTGCATGAGGCTTGTCTGGAGCGTCCGGAAAGTGGCCTGGAGCGTGGAGGCGGTAGGGTAGTGGAGGTCATCTGCTGAGGCTGGGTCCCTTGGGGCGGGGAGGGTTCGCCTGCCCCCCACTGGGGCGCCCCGAGTGGAAACAACCTGGTGCAGAGTCTGCTAAAATATACTACATATTAGAAATGCTTCACAGATGATTAATGATTGGGACATTTTTCTATAGCATCGTTGTAGTTAAAATTAATTAAATTTAGGCTTTACCAATCTGTACATAATCTGATATTGTATGGAATGAATGTCATATTTGTAATATGTTGAGAACATTATATAGCATATAAATCCAGTGCCTGAAGCAGATAGATCTCATAATTGCTTCCTTCTCTGCAGAAAATTGAGAAATGAGTTGGTGAAGTTAATATTTCGAATTCACATTTGAAGCTGAAGCTACTACTACTATTCTCCCTGCCTATCTTCCATTTAATTCATTATGCATATTTTTGGCATGGCGTGATTATATCTCAGAGGATACAATTTTGAGCAATACTAATAAGATATCTTCCTTTTAGGGTCTTGCATTCTAATTATAAATAATCAAACTGAAATAATTGCATTCTATCAGATAATGAGAAATCTTGAAGTACAGTGATGAGATAGCTTGTTTGTAGTATGTTGGTTTCCTATCGAGTAGTGGTACTGGAAAACCTGTCTTGAGGCTTTCAAGAGCAAGAAATCTTGGTATTTCCTCATCTTGCTTGTAGGGACTCTGATCTGAGTTGTTTCCTTGCCTTACATAAATATGTTTTAATCATAATTTTCATTCAATGTTTTCTTTTTTAAATATTTTAAAAAGGATCATTGTATCCTTAATTAATCATAAAACATGGTCTTAGATATGATTTACCTCTGGTGAAATGGTAACATATGACAATTGGAAATATGACTAAATTGAGAAATGACAGTGTTTTAAGAACACAGCTGTAGTAGAAAATGAGATAACTGTATTTGCTTTAGAGCTGACATAGCTGTAATGTTTTATTGTAAAACACATAATTGTAATGTAGTAAAGTGTTTATTAGAAGGATGTTCAGTAATCTTACTGGAGAATCATCGGTGTTTGTCAGTTTACTTTCTCTGTTTAGAAAAATGAGATATCATGTTCTAAAATGGTAGCACATTGTTAAGTGCAGTAGACTCCAACTTTCTCCATGAAATCACAATGTCATGCCTCACTGCTTTCAGAGAAAACTAGAACAATCAATCACAGCTGTCAACTTATTTGTTGCTTATTTAAATTTTGTATACAATAGTGGGCTGGAGCGATAGCACAGCGAGTAGGGCTTTTGCCTTGCAGGAGGCCAACTCGGGTTCAATTCCTCTGTCCCTCTCGGAGAGCATGGCCAGCTACCAAGAGTATCCTGCCCACATGGCTGAGCCTGGCAAGCTCCCCGTGGCGCATTTGATATACCAAAAATAGTAACAATAAGTCTCACAATGGAGACGTTACTGGTACCCACTCAGGCAAATTGATGAACAACAGGAGGACAGTGCTACAGTGCTACATTGCTATATACAATAGTAAATGAATTGCTTAATATTAATGAATTACTATGCGTGCTCTGTGTGTTTATTTTATGGCTATTCGTATACTTTTATTATAACTATACTTAAACTACTGTTTGTTGATAACTATAAGAGTAGCAACAGAATTATGACATACATTATTTACTTTTAATTTACTACCCAAGGGACTTCTTGGCACATCCATAGGAACTTGGAAAATGCACTGCAAATGATTAAAAGTCTACATAAATTTCCCTGCACTTGTTGATGAATTTTTATATTTATGATTCTGTCAGGTTGCTTTATTGTCTTAGGAGGTTTCAAATACCTGACTTCGAGGTCTACTTGCCACCTCTCACCAGCAATGCAATGCAATTCTGATCTCTTACCGACTGTAACATTTTCTAGAAATTTCTGCCATATTCTAAATGTTCAATGTAATGCAAAGAATTTCCGACCAGTTTCTCCAAGGATAGGTGTGTGTTTGTGTAGGGCTGTGTAGGGCGGTTGGGGGAGCACATGTGCACTCAGCACAACACCCTTTCACCCCCCACTTCTCATATGGACAAGGGATTACTGGCTTACAAATAAATGCTTGAAACTGTTTACAGTACTGAACTCGAATGTAATATGGTTTCTCCTATACACACATCTCTAATCTAAATTTATAGGTGAGACTGACTAAGATTAGCAACAGCAACTAATGATAAATCAGACAATTATAACAATACAAGTCATGTTAATGTCATCTCTGTAATTGTTTGTCCATTCTCTGAAAAGATCTGTGATATTTTTGGATTGTACTTGACTGTGAAAAGTAAAAACAGAAATAATAAAAGGGAATGACTGTCATACTTACAGACAAATATAAAGGGCAAAGAGTAAAAAGTGAGGAAATAATATTTACATTGATCTTATTATCCCACATAGCCAACTGCAATATTGTGCCATTTCTTTTTTGTTTCATTTCTATTACTATTTGTTTGTATATGTGAACATACGTATATGGGTTCTTGTATAAAATTATTTTACAGATATGTTGAATAAATTAATATTTATCGTGTATATATGTATATTTTAGTATCTGTGACATAGAATATAAAGTTAAAATAATTATTAATCCTTTTTGTCAGATTTTTAAAAGTACCTATTCATATAGAACATTGAGAAAGTATACAGAATATGAGAAAAATCGGGAAAAAATTTTAATACTGTCACCTAAAGATGACTTTATTTAAGATTTTGGTTTATGGGCTGGAGCAATAGCACAGTGGGTAGGGCATTTGCCTTGCATGCGGCCAACCCGGGTTCGATTCCCAGCATCCCATATGGTCCCCTGAGCACCGCCAGGGGAAATTCCTGAGCGCAGAGCCAGGAGTAAGCCCTGTGCATTGCCGGGTGTGACCCAAAAATTAAAAAATATATAAGATTTTGGTTTACATAATTTTAGTCTTTTTTATTTCTGTTATATATTTTGCCAGAAGATATATTTGTTTTCTAAACTCCTTTTTTCCCACTTAGTAGCATATAATTAACTTAGTCTTTCTCTGCCATTAAGCAATCTTCTACAATGTAATTTTATAACCTGTTATTAAAATGACATGTCTATATAGTGCATTTAATTAATCACCTCCTGGTGGACCTTTTAGTTTCTTTTTTATTATTATGAAAAATTCTAAAATAAGAAAAATTATTTGTCTTTTCTTCTGGACACATCTACTCTGATTGCACTCAGACTAATTTCTAGAAGGAGAATTTCTGGCTCCAAGGTATACTAACACTTTGTAAGTCCTTTTACACATATTTCCGCATTACCTTTTCAAAGTTGTATCTGTTGACATTCATACCAGAGCGAGTGCTAAGAACAAAACAAGCTAATAAAAAAAAAGTTTCAGTTCATCTTAAAATTAAACAGCCCACGGCTAAAGAGAAAATTCAAGGAGCCAGCACAAGTCTAGCAAGTGAAATACCTTGAGTTTGATTCCTGGGTCCTTAGGCCCCACTGAGCTTCACTGCCTATAGCTCTGCTGATCCCCAGCACTACCTCCATGGCCCTCAAAGATGGCCTGGCCGGATTCTGGGTATGGCATGGTCGCCCCTGAAGTTTCCATTCACTGAGTACTCAGAGACCCTAAACACTGCTTTGTGTGGCCCCTATAAAAAGACTTCTAGGAAGCTTATGTTTGTTCATTCTTTGAAAAGCATTGGAGAGAACCTGTATATTATCTTCTTGAGGGTGGGCTGTGGTGATAAATGACTCTCAAATCTGTCTCTGGAGGGGTGAGATGATTTTATTAAATGTGCAAGAAGAGAGAGAAAAGATTCTTTAGGTGATGCGTCTTCTGGTTACCAATTTAGTTTAAGTTACTCCTTGGGTTTATTTTCCATGAAATGTTAGGACTTTTGCGATTCAGTGTTTGAGACAGAGTGACTGTGTTTCTTTCTCCTTCTCTCTGACAGCTGCCCAGGAGACATGGTCTTGGGAGCAGTACCTGAGGGAGCAGAAGGCAGTCGCGGCGCCTGTGGAACTCTTTAACAAGGTGACCCTCTTTGCTTTCATGTTTTGCAGGAAACCAACTCTTAAGAGACTTCATTGAAGTAAAATAATTTGCCCAGATATCACATCGAATTATTTGATTTTATAGTCTTGACTTGTTTGGAGGTTCTAGCAGGGGAGCGCAGCTACTCGTATACCCTCTACCGAAGACCGGTCCGTCTCTATCAGGGAAGGCCGTCCTCTTCGACCGAGCGCGCAGCTTCGGGAGGGACGCACATGGAGCGGTGAGGGAGGAAGGGGACACCCGCCTAGCCAGCCAGATCAGCCGAATCAACCCTGGCGATCAATGGGGTGACAGATGTCGCAGCCAGATCGCCCTCAAGCTACCGAGAGTATTTGATATGCCAGACACAGTAACAACAAAGTCTCCAATGGGGACGTTACTGGGCCCGCTCGAGCAAATCGACGATCAACGGGAGGGCCTTTTTTTTTAACCTTTATAGTCTTGACTGAAACAAATGATGTAATAGAGCTAAATAGAATGTTTGTGTTTTCAAGTGTGTGTTTTGGTGAAGGACCCCTCCTGGGTTGGAAACCCCGGTCTACTTCTTAGATCTGTGACCTAAGGCAAGTCATTCAGTCTCTGGGTCTCAGTTCCCTTGTTCATAAACTGAGGATATTTCCATACCTTGGATTTGAGAAGGTTTAAATCACTTGTACATGAAAAGGACAAAGCGTGTAAGCATGAGGGATGCAACTTGTGCATAATAAACACTCAGTAAGTATTTAGTCTCTTTATATTGGCTTTTATTATTTGCCTCTCTCCATCCAAGTATCAGATTAGAGGGCTCTACTGTGTTGATGTATAGAAGTGGTAGGGTCAAGTGATATTTTTAAGGAGAATGTGTATTTCCTGATTGATTGCTCTCCAGAACAGCCTGTGTAGACTTAATTGACAAGTGACTCCTGCCACAGAAAGTATTTTGTTTTTGAGGGCTAGCTTTCCTCATGGATGTTTCGTTCTCTAGGGCTAGCTTTCCTCGTGGACATGTTGTTCCCAAGGGCTAGCTTTCCTAGTGGCTCCAGAACTTGTGCACTTCTTCCTATTCTTCTTGGTTTGTGTTTTCAGTACATCAGAGACATTTTATATAAAAATTGCCTAACATTTGTGTTGTACTGTATTTAAGCCGGAAGCAAGAAGCTACAACTTTGTATCGCTTTTTTTCTGTAACGCTTGTTGTTATATCTAGTACATTTTTTAAAATGTGAGGATGTTCATTTAATCCTGAACATAGCAGCAAAACAGGGGAAGAAAGTAGAGCAAACAAGTAAAAAGAAGGGAAACTAAGTGCCAGTCTACCTCATTTGAGAAATAACTAGATGTACTCTTACAGTCTAGGTACTATGCTTTATTAGAAATGCAGTATAAAAGTCTTAGGGAAAATGAAAACATCTGCAGTGTTTTTTAAATCGGTCTTCACATCAGATACTTTTGTGGAGATTTTGGAAATACAGACTCATGGGTCGTCTTGAGATGTACTCACTTAGGCCCTCAGGGGCCTGAAAGTTGAGGTCTCCCTGTGGTGGGAAGTTAGCTGAGTTCAGATTCCTGTTACCCCATGCTGCTGTCACATGAGACTTAGGGTGTTTGTTCCCCCAAGCTACATGAGTTCTTAAAAGTTAGGGGATCTCTGCTCTCCTGTTTCCTCACAGTGCCTTCTCTTGAATGTACTGATACAATTAACTGATGCTACCCGACTTGACTGTGTTCAGGGCAACCCAGCGTGAACAGAGATGCTCTCTCCATCCTCACTGTCACCGCAGGTGGAGAGGGTAGAGCGGGGCTGACTCAGAGAGGACAGAGCCTGGACAGCTATCATGACCCTCCAAGGGCAGATGAAGCCCAGTGAAACTCAGGGTCCAGGGCCATCCAAAAGATAGGCTGAAGTCTGGGCCCACATGAGATCATCGTCCAGGGGCTCGAGGCAGTCAGGAGCCACAGAGCCTGAGGCACAGACAGTGCCTGAGGGCAGAATTCACATGGGATAGTATTTCCCTCAAATGAGGCAACAGCGTCCCTGTCACTCTGTCATGACTCTGTCCTGCCCTCTGCCAAGGGATACTTCCTGAGCATGTTAGGGGTTTCGTGTGTTTGATTTGTAGAGCCAGGAAAGCTTGAGTTTGTGGCACCAAATGTCGGGTTCTCTTTCAGCTGTGGTGTGTGTCCCTCCTTTCAGCCAGTATCTTATTAATATTATTCAGTTTCTTATTTTTAAAAAAAAATTAAAAAATTTTATAGCACATTTTGTGCCTTTTGGAGCAACAGTCTGGCATCCGGTATCTGGTGTTTGGAGATTACTTTAAGCTCTCTGCTTTAGGGTCATTCCAGTGTTGCTTTGGGGACCGTGCTGTGTCTGGGATTGGCAGAGACAGTTTCCTGTAAATCAAGCACTTTAATCTCCATAGCTTCTTCTTTAAATTCTTTTATGAGCCATTAACTCTAATGGAGGAAACCTGCAGGTTAGAGAATTTATCCCTCAGATTTTCAGTAGTAATCTGGTATTAACTTAAAAACTGCTAAGGAACAAAGGTGGGATTTCTGTCTCTGATATAAATCCTTCTACTAGAAAGATAGTATATGAGTTAAGGCACATACCCTGCTTGCAGCCAATTCTGGGTCGATATCTGGTACCACATGGTGCCCGATCATTGCCAGGTACAGTCCTGGAGGTACATAACTTGTGGGATCTGACTCTGGGGACTTTAAGCACTACAGGGGCGGCACAGGTGATCATGGCACTGAGGATCCAGGTGAGCATCATATCTCCAGGTTCTTCCATTGAACTGCAGATATGATTGGCTGAGCTCCCCTGGAGGACCACACACACCTTCTGATCTCTGATTTGGTGGTCTCCCACCCCAAAATTTCTTATGGTAATATTGGGCACAGTGTAATCATAGATTATTATGGGTTGTATCCTGTTTCTCCATTGGGTCTAAAGAGATCTGTTCAAAGAAGCATTGGAAAGTTCTAAGAGAGAGGCCATGTGACCTATAGTTTACAGAAGTGGGTTTTTTTTTTTTTGGAAGAACTAGGGAGATAATTTTCAAACTTGACCACTGAGTAGCAATGAGTTGTGAGCAGGTGATGTGGTTTTGGTTGATTCCTTGTCTGGTAATGTAACTTCAGAACCTGGCTCTTTCTGAAGCTTCTGAGCTCTACTATTTGTCGCTTTGGAGGTGACAATAAAGTGCTAGAATAAGGAAAGAGTACACTTAGGGTATGTTGTGATGCCTTTCTTGCCACTCATAATTTAGCCATCAAGCTCTCACATTTTTAAGGTTCTGTGCCTACAAAGTGCCATGTAGGACCAGGATTGAAGTCCTAAGGAATTTATGATATGGTTTCTTGAAATTTTATCACTAATGCCTCACCAGTGATAGAGGCTGACCAATGAATTTAGAATAGTTTTTATTAGGTTGTACAGGTAACAGGTTTACTGAGTTTACTGGGTATTCCCTGCTAGAGTGACCATCCATGAGCCCAAATGAGAAGAATGAAGCATGACAATGATTACATCTGATCTGCCCTGATGACTGAAGAGAGTGCTGCTGTTGAAACTACAGTGGTACTCGATTCAAGATTTCTATCTTATTAGGAAGCAAGCATGTTTTGTAATTGAAAGTAGTTTTCAGTAGAATGTAAAAAAGTCTGCCCAGGGTTTATGCCAGTCTTTCAAGGAGGAGCATTATATTGAATTCACTTTTTATGTGACATTGACAATTAATATTCATTTTTCATTGTGTAAATATAACCATAATGGTGTTATGGTCATTGGCATGAGAAGGAATTCTTCAACTCCTGACACTGAAATGTTAAAAATAAAGCTTAATATAGTTTGCATGTTCAGAATGGGAAACTATTCAAAAACATTAAAATATTGATTTACCCTTACTTTTAATTTCAACCCTAGTAGTTAAGTTTTTGAAGATATTCTAGTGACACACATGATTCAATTCATTATGCAAATAAGATACATATTCTATCACAAATGTGTGAAATGTGTGTATATTGCTTGGGTAAACTTTTAAACTTACCACAGGTTTTTGCATAAGTATAGGTCTATTTTAAACACTTCTTTTTCCAAGACAAAGTAAAGTTTTAGTCTTATGTTGTATAACTTATTTTACTATCTGGGCAACGTGATATAAGGATTACATATTAGTATCAATACAGAAGATGTAAAAGCATTTCTTTTCATTAATGGCAAAATATATCTTACTGTGATTTGATTTAAAATTAAAAATAGTCTTTCTTTAGTTTTGAGGTCTGTATCAAAACATTTCTCTCTCGACCTCTCTCAGCCAATCATCTGTCCATCAGTTCTGTCTTCCCAAAGAATAATTTTTATCTTAATGCTCATCTTGGGTCATTGTATGTCGGCCTGGAACCAGAGACCCTACTATGTCATGCCCTGTACATCAGTGCAGCTTCGCCCCTACCTGTGCCACTAGTCCATGGATGGACTTCTTATTGCTTCTGGATTGACAGCTCAGTCTTTATCCAGGTCTGAAGGGCCTCGGGTCCCTTCTTGCTCTCTGACCTCACAGGTCCTTACTTTTACGAGATCACCTCTTCTCGTGGGCTGGCCCTGCCTTCCTGCCAGGCAGCCACTCTGCCTTGCTTGTACTGAGAAGATTGAGGGTCACATGATGATGTCCAGGGAGTATGGGAGCAGATGCTGCTTCTAGTAATAAAACCCTGGTTCCCTTCTGCACCAGCTCTAGTGCTCTTGGGACAATCAGCTGCAGCTTGTCATCTTGACAGAGAATAGAGCCTCTCTGTGCTCTAAATAGGCCTTCACGTTGATGGCAGTAGCCACTAATTTGCACATTTCTGTTGTTCTTACTTCACTGGCCGCGGAAACTGCTGTTTCTCCAGGCAGATGTACTTTTCTCAGACAGTGGTGGGTTGTCCTGGAGACGGGCTAAACAGGTGCTTAGAATACTTCAAAGCAGGAACACTAACACATTTTGTCAGTA